GCCCTTCGCTCCGACGAAGGGCAAACGCTCGAAACGTCAGCTTTTGTAATCATTACGGTGGCTAATTTACCATTTCAACTTTGTTGATATATCCAAATTATTTCGTTACTCCCACCGACGCAGCCCCAAACAGTTTCTTTCGAAACTATCAGCCTTTATTTTTTGGTAAGGGCTGGTTTAAATTTAAAACCACCTCAATTTACCAATCTTGTCCAGTTGTTGCATATTTAACCATTTACACACTGGATACCTATTTTCCAATAAGGACTCGGTGTATCCTCATTCATTTGTGCTAGTTAATTTGATTACATTAGGACCCTTTGTGATATCTAACCTGGTGAGCGTTATTTAGAATAAAAAGTAAATTGTATTTACTGTGTTAAAACTGCAGGCAGAGATAACTTCCAATATCTTGACCTCTTCTACTGTCTGGTTAAAATCCACTATAGTTAAAGCTCTTTTTAAGACTTCCCCATTCTTGATCTCATGTAAACAATACCAGAAAGCTCACCAGTTGACAAGTAACTGCAACCTTAACTTTTTCACTCACTGTTTAATTTCTTCATCTATTGATTGATTTTATTTTCTCTTTTTTTTTAACAGGTTGGGAGATGGGTATAAAAGGAATGTGCATTGGGTAAGTTTTAGAAATGCTATGTAATTAAAACAACAGCAACAGCAAAGTTAAAGATTTTATTTTTTCATCAGATGGTACCATTCAGCAGCAGACTTGCATGTTCCAGAGTGAGGCTTTGCAGGATTTCCTCAAGTGAAAGAAAAATACCTGCTTAAAATTTTACTTCTATAACCAACAAATTGGGGTGCAAAAAATTGTGCCTGAAGATAGGTACAGGGACCCATTAGTGGCTCCTGGTGGGTACTATTTTCAAGTTCTATTCATTTGAAATAAATTATTGCAAACATAACTGATAATATAATTGAGATGGCAGCTGCTAAGCAAAACTCACTTTGGACCTAAGAGCCCCTTACTATCTTAGATGACTTTCTCTCCCTCCTTTTTGTTTTTTTTTTTTGTTTTGTATAGTCTACAAATAAGTTCAAAAACCCTTTTTGGGTCACCATTCAGTTTTGTTGCTCCCTGCAGTGAGTTTACAGAAGCAGTGCTCAAAACTATTCTGCAATAGTATACTCTTCTGTTCTTTTTATTTCGCAGAGAAAAAAGAAAATTGATCATCCCTCCTCACCTAGGGTATGGAGCCCGCGGAATTCAGAATGTTATTCCTCGTGAGTAAATGTTGATTATATTTATGACCATGGAAGGCATAAGGTGGTCAATAAGGACAGAAAATCGTCTGAGCACGTGTGCAACTCCTGATTTATGGCACAAGTGTTTTTCTGGAAGTTTTCTTTTAATTGCACTTGGCCGAACGAAATTTTTAAACCTTTCAATTCGTGAATGGCCATTAATCACCAAATGCAAAAGTAGTTTGTAGGATTATTTATTTATTTATTAATTATTATTTATTATATTCATCATTAAATTCACTTTTCAACTCTCCTTGGTACTTCCTTGGTACACAATACGTAGAAAACTTTTCATGGGTTGGAAAATGCTCATGTTTTCTTTGATTTGGTAGTTTCATGAAACAATTGTGGTTGATCAACCGAGTTATTGTTTATCGGAATACTGTATAACGTAGCCGTTTATCTGATTCGGAGCAAGTGCAATACGTAAATTTCATATTGCAATCTATAACTTATTTTAGTTTGTCACTGACCAACCACGAACGAGATATGTGTTGAGTATGTGGAAATAGCCAAAAAGGGAATAAATTCCTATCTTCTCATTATAACATAGACAGAGAATAGTCAAGAAGTCTAATATTTTTGCTCTCTCGGCAAGATTTCCGCACAGCCCCATTGATTATTACGCGTGCAGTTCTTGGATATAAAAAAGCAATGGCGGAAGCAGTTGATTGCGTTTGAGACATAGGCCTTGTTTTAGAATAGTATGGGTTAAATTATACCGAAATCTACCCGCTAATCATGATACTATTATCATATTACAGTACGTTATTGAATTAACAGAAAATCCTAACATTTTCCTATTTTTGTTTTATTCACACATAGTCAACTCTGTACTGATTTTTACAACCGAGCGCATGTCTATTAAGAGGAAGTCGCAGTTCGATCCAAATTTACTTCTGCAAATAGGATTTTGGCTGGTCCTGGCTGGAATGATTTTGTACTATCTGTATAGAAAGGCATCTAAGGAATCTGACAAGCCTGAAACAAAGTCGAGCTAGAAAAATAAAAATAAATGATAAAAATGTAAACTGTTCAATAGTATATGGTGTTACAGTGAAGCCCCTTATTCAGCTGCAGATGGCTATAGCACCGTTCTACATCCCCTCCTTTCCGTAACTTTTTACTCCTGGAGTAATCGGCGCAGACACTAGAACGTGACTCGATTAACTCGATTGGTGATTGAAAAGAGAAAAGGTCACAAGGAATCCGAGAAGATAGGGCTGTAATTAAGGCCAGATCCTCCAGAAACTGAGCAATTTTTTAGCAAGTAGATATGGGTTTATATTAAAATTCGGATATAACGCGCGTTGTCATTGGTTGGAAAGGCGTGCCCTATTAGAGTTTATAGTTCTGCATCCTTGACCTACATCATAAATAGATCTTTAACTACCGGTATTTTTCCTGATGATTGGAGGGTAGCCAGAGTCACTCCTATCAAAACTAATCCAATTAATTATAAACCTATATCTGTCTTGCCGATTGTCAGTAAACTTATTGAGAGAGTATTCTTCACCCAGTCAGTGTATGATTTTTTTAATGAGGCATGATTTACTTACCGATGCTCAGTCGAGATTTCGACCTTGTCATTCCACTTTGACTGCCTTTCTAGATATAACCAGTGATTGTTTTTCTAGTATGAACAATGGCTTACTAAATGGAGTTCTTTTTCTCGATCTCAAAAAAGCTTCCGCTACTATTGATTATGAAATACTACTTAAGAAGCTCAATTTCTATGGGGTTGACTGCATAAGCATAAAATGGTTTCAATCATATCTGACTGATCGCAAGCAAAGAACTTATTTTAATGGTTCTCTTTCTGATTACGGCTCCACTTTGTGTGGTGTCCCTCAGGGTTCTTTCCTGGGACCTATATCATTCTTGATTTATACAAATGATGTTCTCGCCAGTAGTCTATCCTCAACACCAAGACTGTATGCTGATGTTACTTGTCTTACCCTTACTGCTCATGATCCTACTGATCTACAAATAAAGCTGAACAGTGATCTAAACAAAAATCCAGCCTTGGCTCCAAGCATATAAACTTAGTCTTAATGTGAAGAAAACTAAATATTCCATTACTGCTACTCAATACAACATCACATATCTAGATCATCAACCTGATGTAAGAATAAATGAACATTCTGTGGATAGAGTCAGAACCCACACTGAGATACCTAGAGGTCGAAATTGATGATACTTTAACGTGGCCCTCTCAAATTGATCACTTGTCAAAAAAGTATCAGCTGGCCTGGCAATTCTAAAGCGGGCCAGCCGTAGTACCGCGCGACACCTTAATTAACATGACTAACACGTACATAGTTAGTAGAGGGGACAATGCCCCGGTTGTTCCTTTTTTCCACCATTGTAGCTCAGTATGGAGTTGTATCGGAAAATGCCAATCTGAGAGACTCCAGAAGCTACAAAATATGGCTGCTCGTATAATAACCAATTCTGATTATATGACGCCATCTTCTTGTTTATTACATAACCTTGGCAGGGATAGACTTGAAGAAAGGCGAACTAAACAGCTAGCGATTGCTATGTATAACGTGGTCAATGCTCACTTTCCACTTCGCCTTCATAATCTTTTTCAAACAATATCGCACGTCCATACCTATAATTTGAGGGGCTCGGCTCATAATCTCTTTACTCCTAAACCACTCTCTGAAGCCGGAAAACGTAGCCTGCACTATCGAGGTGCTACACTATGGAACAGCCTCTAAACTACTAGCAAAACCCAGACCCGACTGTTACTGCCTTCAAAGAATCCCTGCTGACATAGCAATTGCTTTTTGTCATAATCTTAAATATCTTTTTAGTTTTGGATGTAATAGCTCTTATTGTGTGACAAGTTGTAGTATTAGTTTTTAGTTTTAGCATTGCTGTTGGTATATAGTATTGGAATATTAGTATTAGCATAAGTTGTATAATTATATTAATTAGTAGAAAGGGTGTTCGTTTTAGATTGCTTATGAATGATTATTTGCATATTTAAGTTACACATGGCCCGGTGGAAGAGCATATATTACATGAAATTGATACCCTGTATAAATAAAGCTTATGTATGTTATGTATGTATAGTTCACCACTAAATTTTCTCCGATTGTTATTGGTTTAAATTGATCACGTAACGCTATCAGCCCAGTTTGAATGGTTTGACGACCGCGAAGCTAGGCAGATCGGAAAAACAGTGACTTTTCAATTCTGACAGGTATAACGTATCATTTAGCAAATGTACGAGTACAATGTCTTGTTTTAATGTCTCGTCTTGTTTTAACTCACTAGTGATTTTATTGTATTTAATTTCTATGACATTTATACATATCTTTTAACTCATAATATAGTAAACTAATGCAAAACTTACAACTGCAGTAATATTTTAGTAGTAATG